CCCGTGCCCAACACATGAGCACAGCAAGCACCCAGCAGTCACACTACAGCACCACAGTCACCCACAGCTGCTTGTCATCTCAGGAAACACCTCCCTCCATGCTCTGTATCCCCCCCTCTTTACACTCAACTACAGGCTTGGCTGGTAGGACTGCTCCTCATTAAGACTGCCTACTAGCTGTATTTGTAAAGCTTTGTTTTCCAGGGCTGATCATTTTGTAGTACTTTGATCATTTACATCAAAACCATGAGTCTTCTGCCTCAGGCTTTTGGGGTGATCTCAGTAAAGGGCAGTAACACTGGTGTGTTATAACACTGAAAGTTTTGGCCACAGTCATACTGACACTACCATCAACAAACTATGTAAAGTTACCCAATTACAAGTTGGTTAGAAAGTTAATGAAGAGTCCATGTGTCATAGGGGGGAATCGAGCAGTTTGACTAGTGCTGCAGTCTGGAGCAGAAGACACAGATTTACTGTTTTAGAGGGCCAGGGACACAGATCAGTGAGCAGTCAAGTCAAGCAAGCAAGTCAACTACTTCAACTTTCCAATATGGTCCAATATTTTAGCCACATTCAAGACAGTATGATTTTCTCTGTTAAAAAAATGCTTCTGGGACTGTAAAAGCTCTAGCTACCTATAATCCAGCCTCCCACAGGCAGCTTTCCACCAATCCACCAACCTGATGCAGGCAGGAATGGCTCCACATTCCAACTGCTCTGCACTGGTTCGAAATGAGATCCCAGCCATCCTTCCACACACTTTTGGAGGAAGAGCTAACACACCAGAAGGTGACAGAAAAGGCTCTGCACTGCCTGAAAGCCATGGCTAGGGAGCTGCCCTAACTCTCCCCAGAAAGGCAAGCATGCTCCACAGAGCACCCTGCCTAGCGTGACATTCTACTCTAGGCGTACCAGTACCTGAAAAATTGACTTTTGATGGCAAAAACTTCTTTAGAGTTTCTAATCATCCTTAGATGATTAAACCTACAATACAAAAACATTTATATTTCAGGATTAGAAAAAGAAATCTTAACACTTTAGGACAAAAACATTGGTGTAAGCTTTTTTTTTTTAATATTGCATTTCAAAGTGCTGAAGTAAAACATTTTACTTTTTCTGAATTTTATATTTCTCAGGTCTCTTCTCCCGTGACTCCAATCAAGCTGCATTTAGTTCAGATTCAAATTAATTGTTCTCGAGCTAAGCTTAATTTTTACTAATAGCAGGTGTTCCACAAAAGCTATATGACAAACTATAATTGCCCATGTTTTCTAAATACAGCCATTCAACATATTGTTCTTTCCTGCCTACATCTGCAGCACCATGACACATCAGGTTAACCTTCATGTTCCCTCAGGACACTCACATACTCCACTACCTACCCCAGGGTTAGCCCAATCCCATGAACAGTTGTTTCAAGAAGCTTTTCTGGCAGGAATCACTTCTCAGAAAAATCCCTCTAAACCTTCATCAACAACACAGAAAAACTTTCTATCAGGTTAGGAGTAAAGGAAGGCAGGCAGTGGACAGAAGAGGCATTTGATTAGCTTACATATTATGAAAGGGCACCCCTAACTACTCTGGGTGCTCCTACAAGAAGCAGTGGATCCCTACCCAAATAATCATAGATTTCTTGTAGACAACAAGGAAAGAAAATTAGCACTGGGGAAGAAGTCACAGCTAACCATCCTGACCAGAACAGGGGACCGATACAGTTTGATCAAAAACTGCAAGTATACCTGCCTGTTACCTCATGGCTCTTAATTATTCAAAGATGGAGTAACTCAGACAGGATTAAGTAAATGCATTATAACCAAGACCCAAAGAAAAACAGAACTTCCTGCTCTTCTGCTCATCACTTTCATCCATTACCTTGGAGGCTGGACTAATAAAACAATAAGCAAATGCTGATAGTTGGCAGTGAACATCCGCTAGGTTGCTTTGCTGTCTCAAAACAGCAGGCACGATCTTATCACAATCTCAGAAAGCTGATCTTAAGACTTGAGAAAAACTGTTTTGCCTGTCCTAATACAATTCATGTAAAAGGTTGACGAAACTGGGAAGTGGTGTGGTATCTTCAGAAGCAGCAAGATTTCTCAGACTCTAGCACCTAGTTAAACATGATACTGAAAAAATTACTTAGGCAAGTAGTTAATATGGAACAGTACAAATTGGACGTGCCACGGTGCTATGAATTATTAGCGTGCAAGTACAAGCAAGAAACAGGTTCATCTTCTCCAGCAAATTCTTTAAATAGCTGATTTACTTAAAAAGCAGACCAGTGAGAGCACTGCAGCTTTTTCCTTATGTTTCCATTTCTCAGGAGGGCAATAAGAAAACTAAGAGATACAGATTAAGAGATGACCAAAGAAAATAGCATCACAGCTGTACATGATTTCATAAAATTCTTTAAAGTAAATCATCTTGAGATTAAACAAATACTATACCGTAAAATACCCTACTAAAAGTCACATTCACACTCAAAATGTTTAAGAGTTCATTTTTAAACCCACATTCAAAGAGGATTAGTCTGGAGTATAATTAAGAGAATGAGTTTCACACAAGGTCACAACTTGAAGGTGGTTTGTTTTGTTGACTATATTATAGTCATGTAAATTGATGACATTTTAGTTGCTTGATATTTGGCTACTTCTCTTTGCAAAAGATTCCTTCCCTCATGACATCACACAGGAAACCTCATCTCTTCCTTGGACAAGACTATATTGCTCTAACATTTTGTCTAGAGTTTTGTCAACAGAAAAGCCCAAACTCTGGAACTAATCACAACCCAGCTGTGGAGAATGACCCCGAATTTTTTTAAAGTCCTACTCCATTCTGAGCACAGTTAAATCAGCATGTAAGCACCAAACTGGTATACTTCATGAAACACC